AAAAACCAAACTGATTCTATTTCTCTGATACGAGTCAAGTACACTTCAACCTTTCCAAGTAGCACTCAACTCACCCGGTCTTACTCCCCCTGAGTAAGACTTCCCGTACCACAAGAAATTCTACCAGTAACACACACTATGTGTGCAACGCACACCCCGTGTCTCCCTAGACAGCGTCTAGGCCTAACGAGCGGTTCGTCTGTAACTTAAGACTCCCCCTCAGGTAAACTCCCGTTCACTCAGAAATCTCTCACCAGTGTTTCCCGTACATGTGCTTTTCCGAGATTACAGACTCTTCTCTCTCAGAAAACTTAATCTCGCTACCTTTGACAATCACGTCTTCAGTCTATATATATCCCGTCCATTGATTCTCTCCATATCTTCATAATATGCATTTTTCCTTTTTCTTCATTGATGCAACTGTCTTCTTTCCTTTTGCAGCTTCTTTCCATTTGTGTTTTCCAGATTCAGCTCCAAACTTCCATTTGTTGATTTGAAGCTTCTAGATGTTGAATATGATGTTTCCTTGCTTTAACAATCTCCCCCTTTTTTGACTTTCTGCTTGAACACACTAAAACCTCACACAGCACAGAAGCAATCCATAGCAACTATGATATGACTATCCATTAAGTTCAACAAGTTAGGAGAACGACAGAAACTAGCAAGAAAACAACAGAGATCAACACAACAGACGAAACTACAAACATAAACCGAAAAACCAAGTTGCTGATCAGATATGACGATCAGCACAACACAGATCAACTTCACAGAAATGAAGTTTCATTCACTCTGTTCTCCAGTTTCTTCTGATTCTCCTTCCTCCTCCTTTTCAGCCTCACTTACTACTTCATCATCTTCATCCTCACCCATTTTTCCTTTGCCTTTGTCATTTACGCTTGATGAGGGTGCTCCACCGTCACTTTCTCCCCCTGTGTGGGTAAACAGAAATTCAAACACAATTAGACATGGAATGTGCAGAAACCATACCTTGGGAAGAAGACTAGCTAGCAATTACTCTGAAACTCCTCCCAAAGAGCGTGTTGACGGGCACGAATCTGAGCAATGATTTTTGTGGTCTTCCTCTGGAGCTGTTCCACCTGAAGTAGCTGCTTGTCATGTTTCATGAGGACAGTGAACGTCTTGCTGCAGAGTTGTGCTCGACTTATTTTAGCTTGTTGGACTCTGGCTTCTATGACCAAGGGCCGCTGAATTACTTCAGTAATTTCTGAGTCAGCAAGGATCTCTGGACTTTGGCGGACAATAATACTCTGGATGAGACAGGGATGGGGCAACAAATATCGCATTCTCATATCCTCAGCTCTGGACAGTATGTGACTGTAGATTATGGAGCCAAAATTGACGTCCTCTTTCCTCAACAGCTTGAATATCAGTAATGCTAACTCATTTCGAATAACATCAGACCTTCGAGTCGGTAACCAGTTTGTCTTTCCAATCAGATGCATAACCCGACTTTCAAACTTGAGACAATTTATGGGAATCGTCCCATTCCTTTCTGCCAAATACTCTCCAGTGAGAGCTATCTCCAAATCTTCAAGTGAAGCATCTTCAGGTAGATCTTCTAATCCTTGTGATGCGTTATCGGATGTTCCCAACAACCGATTTATGACTGTCGGAGAGAAGTCAATAAATCGACCTCTCACAAAGGCCTTGTGATGCATGAAATCTCCAGGTATGTCAGTGCGTGGAGTGAGATTTGCATAAAACTCTCTGACAAGTAGTTTACTGAATGCACAAGCATAAGTCATAGTTCCCGTCAGTTGCCGTTCTTCAAACAGATTCCAAATGTGATTTTTCCGAAAATCCATCACATTAACATTGCGTTCAGCAATGACATCTACGCTTTTGAACTTGTCAAATCTCTTCTTAGTTTCAACAGACAGAAATCTATCAGAGAGTGGTTTAACACCTGTTTCACTGTGTGGAGCAAATGGTTCTGAAGGGCCGTCGTTATCAGTGCCTTGTCCCTTCCGAGTTGTTTTCCTTCTCTGAGCTCTCTGAACATTGCTCAAGTGTGTCCTTCCATGTGCTGAAGTTCCTTTGCGCTTTCGAGTTATGTTTCTGGCCTTCGCTTTCTGTTGCAAGATAATCAGGGGGCTGTCAGAATCATCTGAACTCACCGGATGAGGCAGGGATGTCTCTGGGGCACGAGATTGTGTTTCAGTTTCATCCTCCTTCTCTGGGTTATTGGATAATCCTTTCAATGCTTCAGTGATTGTCCGTTCATCACTTGCACCATCTTTTTCCTGAGTGTCTTCACATACACCTTCTTCAATCACATCCTTTTTGTGATTTGTACCGGCATCAGGATTACTCATTTCAGATGCGATCTGTGTTGGCTCTTCAGTTACATCAACCCTCGGGGCCTTTTCCGGTTGCACTTCGTCTTCACCCAAGTTCTTCTCAGATTGAACCGTAGCGTTTCTGTCCTTAGGTGATTCGGACTCGCCATGAGGTGTTGGTTGCGATGAAGTTGCTGAATCCTTACTAGGTTTTGTTTTTCTCCTACTAGTCTGAAGCGGAGCCACGTCAGAATCGGATTTCTCTTCTTCGTCGTGGTTCCCTTTCTCGACCACCTTGCTCATGTGCGTCTCACCTGTATCCATTTTCTCAGATTCTTCAGCAATCTCAGAGAGTTGAGGTTTACCTGGTTCGTGAGAAATTTTGGCTGCGTTGCGAGCCGAGCGGCGTTCTCCTTGCCTGAATGTCTTCCCCGATTTCTTGTTCGTCATGGTAATGAAGGAGTTATGAACGAGAATTGGCGAAATCGAACCGCTAGAGAGAGACAACAAAAAAACTTGACCAGTTGTGAGATAAGAGTGCGAGAAATTAGGGCAAGTCCATAAACCGCTCAATAAATGGTGAATAATTTAAATCATCTTATTCTCTCTTCTTCTCACCGAAAAAAAAAAACTCTCAAAATGATTTTTAAAATTTTTCTTATTGTGATAGTTTTGGTATACACATTTGGTATTTTTGTCTTGAAAGATGATGATCCATCTATGTTTCCAATTTTTGTCGCGATCGCAATTTATGCAAATGTGTTGCTAATTGTAGCAATTAATATGTAATCATGTATTTCGTTATGTCGTATTATCTATAATGAATAAAGCTAATATATGGCTTTTTTTTTTTTTTTTTTTTTTGTTTTAATTGCCCTTAGACCATCGTATGGAAATCTGTTTCACAACTTAGACCCGAGTACTTTACTAGTTTACTCATATCATGACTATTTTGTATCGAATCATTTGTATGACATGTATATGTCTTTGCATGATAGAGGAGTAACAGAACTCGTCATTTAGCCCCTATACAAGTGAAAAGTACCTGAGACATAGTGAAGTCCTTCTGACCTTCAGCTACATCTCCTTGACTCGCTTATCTCCTGGCCTGTTCCTTTCCCTGCATATTCTCCTTACAAAAAACGTGTAAACCATTTTAAAGTTCCCCAACTCCAAGGGATTTTTGCAAACCAACAAACCTGTTCATATCTAGGGGTTTAGTGAATATGTCAGCCAATTGTTTCTCAGTAGGAACATACTCAATCATCAGAATTTTCTTTTCAACTTGCTCCCTCAAAAAATGATGACGAATTTCAATGTGTTTAGTTCGTGAGTGTTGCACAGGATTCTTAGAGATATTGATAGCACTCGTATTATCACAATGAGCAGTAAAGGATGACAAGTTGATACCGTAATCGGAGAGCATTTGTCGCATCCACATGAGTTGAGTGCAGCAACTTCCCAGAGCTATGTACTCTGCTTCAGCTGTGGATAATGATGTAGAGTTTTGCTTCTTGCTGTGCCATGCTATCATGTTGTTTCCAAGGAAGAAACAACCTCCAGATGTACTTCGTCGATCGTCAGCATGACCTCCCCAGTCAGCATCACAAAAACCCACCAGCTCACAGCTTGAATCCCGTGTATAGTGCAAACCAAACTCCAATGTTCCCTTCACGTATTTTATGATCCGCTTGACCGCTTGCAGATGTGACTTCTTTGGTTTAGCTTGATACCTTGCACAGATTCCGACGCTCAGGCATAAGTCAGGTCTACTTGCAGTAAGATAAAGTAGACTTCCAATCATTCCACGGTAGAGCTTTGTGTCTACATCTTCTCCATCTTCATCACGAGTCAACTTTGTTGTTGTGGACATAGGTGTTTTTGCAGACTTGCTTCCATCCAGTTCAAATCTCTTGACTAAGTTTCGGGCATACTTGCTTTGAGAGATGAACATTCCATCAGTTGTCTGTTTCACCTGTAACCCGAGAAAGAAGTTTAATTCTCCAAACATGCTCATCTCGAACTCATCGGTCATCAGCTTCACAAAATTGTCCACTTTCTCCTGAGAGACAGACCCAAACACGATGTCATCAACATACACTTGAACCACCATGAGATTTCCATCATCACTGTGAATGAACAATGTCTGGTCCACTCCCCCTCTTTTGTATCCGTGCTCAACCAAAAAAGATGTGAGGCGTTCATACCACGCTCGAGGAGCCTGTTTAAGACCATATAGGGCCTTCTTCAAACGAAAGACATGATCCGGAGAATGAGGATCTTCAAATCCAGTTGGTTGCTCGACATAGACTTCCTCCTGAAGTACTCCATTGAGGAACGCACTTTTGACATCCATCTGAAAAAGTTTGAAGTGCAGGCTACAGGCAACTCCGAGGAGTAACCGAATGGATTCGAGGCGAGCAACGGGTGCAAAAGTCTCTTCAAAATCAACTCCCTCAATCTGAGTGTAACCCTGCGCAACTAAACGTGCTTTGTTGCGAACAATCTCCCCAAACTCATTAGTCTTGTTTTTGAAAATCCACTTCGTACCAATGACATTGGTATGGTGAGGGCGGGGAACTAAATACCAGACATCATTGCGGACAAACTGTTCTAGCTCTTCCTGCATTGCCCGTACCCAGAACTCATCATGAAGTGCTGTTGGTTGTAATGCTCTAGGATGATCCGTGGTATGACATTTTGACTTTGTATTGATTCATTGGTTTATGAATGCATTACATTCCCGTTGTATGATTGGCATGTTTGTTATATTTCGGCATCCTTGAATCATTATAGAATGATTCTAAACTCCCTGGTCAGTTATCATTGTGGGAACTATGATGAATTAAGACTAGCATGAGGTGTGATTGATGCATTGGATGCATATCACAATCATGGGTACTCGTTGTGAACGAGTGACTGGTTGACCCGCATGAGATTGTCACATGGACAGAGTCATGACTTGAATCTCATACAGCGGTTCGTTCTTGGATCCTCAGACCTGAGATGTCTAGAGTATCTGATATGAGGAGTGGCGTGTCTTGACTGCGTCAAACGTCGTCTTTAACCGGATGATCATAACGGCGTTGATCAGATACGTTCACGAATCATATGGAGATAATAGACATGCAATATGGGACTTATCACCTCCTCAATAGGAGAGATATCGCTGGGCCCTCTCGTGGAAGTCGGACTATGAAAATGCGTGGCCACGCTATAGATGAAGTTGCATCTATTTTATTAGTCGATTTGCCAAGACGAGAAAGCGGTTGAACTTGAAGGGTGGCTCAAACCATGCCCTTGTTCAACACATGATATCGTGAGATAAAGGATCAGAACTCGAGCTGTTATTGCCTTGGTTAGATCACCTCTAACTCAATTCTAAATGGGTGGTCATGGCGTCTTGCTAGAGGCTAACCATGACTTGTAGATCGGGAATGGTTCTCGAGGCTGCTGCCACTGCGACCAAATCGTTTGGAATCCTTCCCGTCGGTGTGGATACGTGTAGAGGGACTGTAACTTCAGTCCTAGGTGGTTTAGAACAGGCCCCGGATCGAAATAAACTTCAAGTCTCATCGAGAACGAGGTAAGTAACGATTCTCTCGGTGATATACATCCAGGAGGCCCGGAGGCTCGGTCCGCGATCATTTGTCCAGGCCTGGTCCGGCTGCCCAGGAGTTGGTCAGCCGCTGACCAGATTCCTGGACAGGCGGACGGAGAAATGGCAAGTCGGACCGAATTGACCAAGAAGGGTCTTGGTCCGGAGCTGACCACACGTGGTCTGCCGGACCAAGCCTTCAGGCCAGCCGGTCCGTGGGCCTCGGACTGAGCTTGGTCCGCCGGACCAAGCTCCTGGTCCGGCGGACCGGGATCCGGAATATTTCCAAAATTCGATTTTAGGGTTTTCTAATCTTATTTAAGTTTAGGGTTTCGTCTAAACTTAAAGAGAGCCGACCTAAAA